TTTTTTTTCAAATTTTCCCAAAGTGCCGAGTTTTTAAAGATAGTTGAATCTGAATCTTTTCCATAAGATCCAAAATCTACATAAATGAACTTATAGTTTGCGTCGGCAATAGCTAGCAGTCCAATGGAAAAGTAATGCTTATAATTCATATATAATGAACCATTTCTTTCCGGTTTTATGATTAGGATATGTTTTCCATCAACAGCACCTAAGCAGTTTGGAAAATTTGCTCTTTCATTGAATTCTTTGGCAATTTTAAGCCACATAGCCTGATCAGGGATGGGAATGCATATTTCTTTTAATCTGTTCCAAATACTTTTGCATACTTTTCTGACGACTTCACTTGCAGTACTTCTCCCAATCCGATAGTTATAATGTAGTTCTTTAAAACTGCACCCTGAAGCGAGGTATCTGGTGGATAAAATAACATAAAAAAATCAAATAATTTAAAAACTAATTAAAACAATTTAATAATAATTTAAAATTAAATAATTTAAAACCAAATAAACAAAAATATCCACTTAATAACCATTATGTGAAAAAAGTAAACTTATTTTTATTTTTTATTTTAGTGCAAGATATAACTTCGAAATGGCGTACAATTCGAGATAATTATACGCGAAACTTGAAAAAACAAGATGAATGTAATAGATCTGGTTCGGCGGCTAAAAAAATTAGACAGTACGTCTATGGTGAACAGTTATTATTCCTGAGAAAAACTAAGGAGTTACGTAATACTGATTCTAGTTATGCAACAACTGAAGAAGATGGAGTAGACAATTTTGATGAAATTGAGCATGATTCAGTGACTTGTGTTGACGATGGTATAAATAACAGCAACATAGATATGGAAATCACAGCAACATCTTCAAACGAAAAATTCACAAGTAAAAGAAAAAAATCCAATGTGGAACATGCATTAATCGACTTTATGGTAAGCCACAAAGCATCAAAGAAAACCTCTGACAACGATGAGGATTTAGCTTTTTTTTATTCATTACTACCATCCGTTAAATCTTTAACTATGGATCAGAAATTTGAATTTAGAATGCAAATAATGCAGCTCCTACAAAATTTAAGAACGCCAGAACATAGTCAATTTTATAATACTTCATCTACAACTTTCAATATAACACCCGCAAATTTCCGTCCACCATCATCTTCGTCTGCTTTGTCTTATTACTTTCAATTCTCCAGTGATGAGTTGTCAAACGAATATACAACTATGGAAAATGTTAGTTATTTAAATCCCAGTTCATAATTATATTTTTTTTTTTTTTTTTTACGCAATATTATTTAAAAAAGTAAAATATTATAATATGTATACCTATTTATTATAAATATATATATCAAGTTTACTTCTTTTATTGTCAGTCATTAGTAAATAATTAATTGTAATATCTATTTTTAAATACTTACTAACAATATACATTGACTAATAAAGTAATTTAATAAAAATAAATAAAATACTGGAATAATAACTTATTTTTATAAGAGTAAATTTTATTACAAAAATACCTACATACCTCAAAGTTATCACCAACATTTCTTCGGGCTGTATGGCTAATCGCATATTGGTATTTTGTAGCTGAATATCATTTTTGATGCACAGTAAAAGTTCATCAAATGATCTTACAGACATGCGGAAGTAGTTAAAAAATTTTGACGAATCTTCTCGAAGTTTATAGTACAACTTCACGTAATGACCATTTGTATATCGTTCACAATTTATTGGATGAACCCAATGTTCTGTTGCGGACATACATGAATGTAGATCCTTACGACTCTTACAGTACGGGCGGGTCCACATAAATTATAAATATTAGAGAGTAATATAATATTCGCAATAATAGAAAGGAACTATTACTTTAAAACAGAGGGTAACGCAAACACATATTACGAAGACAGGTAATATGTAATAAATATTACGACTCATACGACATGGACGGGACCATGTAAATCGTAATGGTAGATATCAAGAAAACAATTATTATTAACACAATATTCGCATTCGTAAAAATAGAAATGAATTTTAATTAAAAGTCAGAGGGTAAACCAGTACATATATTATATGTGAATCGCATGGTTATATGTAGAATTTTAATTGGAAAAAGTCGTGACAAATATAATGCGAATAAGAACTAAATAAGTGCGAATAAGGTCATCTAGGTAATAAATAGGGTTTAATTTAATTAATATAGTTGAAAACAACTATCGCCCAGCGCGGCACGTTTGATCTTCGCCAAACCTAAGTATATAAGGGGGTTGGGAATAGACCAATATTCAGATGTGGTTTACAGGTAAAGACGCAAGCACCTTCACGCCACATTATTTCTTATATTAATGTTATTTTTATATGCTAAATAAACAGTTAAAATTTCAATTGAGTGTTTTATTGAAGTCTATCCTTTAAAAACTTAACTATCAAATACGATTGAGCGACGGCACGCAACAGTTCCCTTTTAGTCCGTTTTTGTTTTAGGTATAAATAGGTTAAAGAACTGAAGGAAAAAACTTCATCTGGTTCCATATTTAAAAAAAACTTTGTGAAAATAGTACGCAAAACGTCTTTAAAACTTTACAACCAAGTAGATACTAGATAAGATACAAAATCAATGATAACACATTTTTAACGGATGTCATATTGACGCTCGTGTGCCCGCTCTAGTGCGCGCGTTAAATAGTACGTCCGTCGCAACGCGCGTACTTAGTGCGTCCGTGTGGCCCCAGCCTGAGTTATGAGCACCCGTGGCCCGCCCCGCCCAGTGCGGCAGCGCTCGACGCTCGTTCTGTATTTATACAGATTGTAAAATAATTATTTTTTCTATCATACAATGCATTCTATCGGCAGCTAGAACAAACATAATTTTAATAGCCTAATATCTCTGTTACGGGTAAAGTTCGAAAATGGGTAGTTTACACATTACCCGGGTAATGTACACCTTATTCATATGAATCGTATAATGCAGCGGTTCTCAACCTTTTTGAGTTCGCGACCCCCTATAATGTCACCAAGATGTCTAACGACCCTTTTGTAAAGTAAGCATTAAAAAATTGAATAAACTGTTATTGTATTTATTTATGTATATATTTTACAAAAAAAGTAATTAATTTGACTTACAGATAATTTTAAATAAATAGATAATATAATATTAAATTAAAATTTTTTTCGTCTTAAATATTTTACAAAAAAAAGGTATACTATGTACATTTGAATATTTTTTAATTTAATGACTCTTTTGTTGTTGTTGATTTAAAATAATTTTATCAATCCTTGGCTCAATAGATTTGGATAGACTTATTCTCATTGTTGGCGATATATCCAGCCGATTTCTCGATTTAGTTTTAATTGTAGTCATCGTAGAAAATCCTGCTTCGCATAAGTATGTCGTTAAAAATGGAATTAACTTTTTTAAAGCTTCCTCTGTCAATGCAGGATACTCAGATTGAATTTTGATCCAAAATTTACTTATGTTTTTATTACTATGAAAAATCTGTTCCAACCCTTTGTCTGAATACAACTCAATTAATTTTTCTTCGTTTAATGATGATAATTTATTTTTTTCTGATTTAATAAATGGATTAATAACCCATAAATTGTTTAAACGTATATCTTTCGTTGGATCAAAATATTTAAGAAATTTTTCTTTTAGTTTTAATAAATGAATCGCAATAACATTTTGCATTTCATTTATTTCATTTTCATTTATTATTTTTTCTTCCACCATATTAAAAAAAAATGGGAACATATCAAACGTAAGCTTTTGTAATCTTTTTTTCCCAAAGTTCGATTTTGTTAAGAAATGCTTCTATTTTATTGTTTGATGTAAAAATATTAGTATAGGGCCCTTGTAAACTCAAATTTAAATCGTTGAGAATAGAGAATATATCTGAAAGATAAACAAGATTTGCTAACCATAAATTATTTTCAAAATAATCACCCAAGGGTGATTTTTTATCTTTCAAAAATATTTCCACTTCGGTTTTAAGTTCAAATAAACGAGTTAAACATTTTCCTCGTGATAACCATCTGACATGTGTATGTAATAGCAAACTAGTGTAATCTGAACCCATTTCGTCACACATGACTTTAAAAATACGCGTATTTACTGCACTAGATCGAATAAAGTTTATGATTTTAATGCAAGTATTTAAAACATTAAATAAATTTTCACCCATATCTTTAGTGGCCAATTGCTCTCGGTGAATGAAACAATGTGTTGAAATTATATCCTTATGAGCTATCTGTTTAATTCGTGCTACAAGACCATTAAACTTTCCCGTCATGGCTGCAGCACCGTCAGTACATATACCAATACACTTGGAAATAGATAGATCATTTTTTGTCGAAGTACACTAAAATAGCTTTGAAAATTTCCTCAGATGTACAAAACGTTGGTAAATTTAAACAACATAAAAAACTCTTCATTTATGTCATTCAAATCGGTATCTACATATCTAATATAAATTAATAATATTGCTTCATTATTAATGTCTGTAGATTCATCGATTTGAATTCCATA